GGAGGATTAAGCAAAAGTATGGCGAACAAATATGTTTCAAATAGATAGGATAAAATAATCTTTCTGCGATTATTCGTAGCACCTACATCATGTTTTAATTCGTTTGAATTGTTTATAGGATATTTTTTCTAGTTTTAGTTTAATTTAATTCTTTTAGATTCGAACGATCATCATAAACTTGAACAAGTTCGTTCGTCTCCAAAATTCGGTAGATTATTATTTTGTTATTCAAAAGATTTTATTTTCATTTGTTACATGTTTTTTTTTCTTTATAATAGAGAACGTCATTCAATTGTTCGTCAATGTATTCATATATCAGCCAGTGATGTATATGCTGCAAGATTAATATCAAAATAACTTATTTCACATGAACGTACTTTACATGAGTATGCTCTTATTTCATCTACACATCATGATTCAATTATTCGAGTATTTCATTTTATTGAAACGAATTCATTTTCAATTATTATTGTTGCATTGTAAGATATATAAAATTGATTTTCTTGTATTCTATTTATTTAACTAGAAAATCTTTTTATTAATATTGATTATAATCAAATAAAATATGTGATTTTGGTGATTTAATATGTTTATCAAATATGAAATATGTTCGTCGTATGAGTGGAAATATTCCTATTCATTATAAAACGGATATCTGGTAAAATAAAAGGGTATGGGTGTGGGTGGGGGTGGGGGTGGGGATGGATGTGGGTGTGGGTGTGGGTGTGGGTGAGGACGTGGGGGTGGGGGTGTAGGTCTTCTCTTCACTCAAAACCACACTACACACCCACACCCACCTACCTACACCCACACCCACCCACCCACCCACACCCACATCCCACCCCCTCCCCCCCACACCCACACCCACACCGTCACACCACCCACACCCACACCCCCACCCCCACACCCACACCCACCCTCAGCTTTTTTTCTATCCTGCATGATGTCAACATTAAAATCACCATAGAAAATACATTTCTTTGATAAGAAATGGGAGAGATCATCCCATGACCAAGTTTTACTATCAGATGCATACACGCCAATTAATCTAAAATCTTTTTCACCTTTAACATCGACTACACAAACATTAGGTAACTTACAGGGAACTCAACTTATCGAAATACCTTCTTTAATAAGCATTAAAACACCACCATTTTTGTTTTCCACTTTTTGATAAAAAAATCTATAGTTATAGAAAATTTTTTGATGAAATGAAATATCTAGATCACCGGTTTCAAGAAGAATAAGAGCATCAAATTCAAATGAAGAAATAAGAAGAAGAACTTCTTGCCATCTGAGATCAAGTCCACGAACATTAAATAGAAGAACATGAAAAGGAGAAGAAGAAGGTTTATCACGGACAGAAGTAAAACTCTCCCATTGAGAGAAACAGGAATAGAGATTTGGACTACTTTTCCATTCCTCAAGGATTTTGCAAAAAAGATTGAAATCGAAATGAGAAAGAGAATCTTTAGCTTTACATAGGAAATAATTACGTTTAGAAAGTTTAGAAGGAGAAACACATGAGAAAAAAGGAAGAGCAAAAGGAGAAACAGACATTAGTTGATAGAATATTTACCTTCTTTTATTTTCTTCATTTGAATAAGATAACGTTCAAGCTTAAGTTTAAGATCAGGATCAAGTATATTTCCTTTTTTGTCCTGATTTTGTGATGCAATCAAACCAAATAGATCTTCAAACATTGGAACAATTAATTTCATGAATAAGTTTTCATGTCGTTCAATTAAAAGACTATGATGCACCAAATCTTTTTTAAATTCAACAGATTGTTTAGAAAGTAAATTTAAATTTTCTTTAACAAGTAAATCATTTTCTTTTTTTCGGTCATAAATTGCTCAAAGTTATTATACTTTAATTCAAGATTTGAAAGATGATTATTTACTTCTGTTATTTTTCCCAGTAAATCATCTAATTTAATTAACATAGTATTATTAGGATTAGTTGGTAAAAATTGAGGCATAGGCATTGGTGGAAAATCAGAACTTAAATATTTGAAGTTTGAGTTGCTCATGTTGTTTAAGGTGTTCATGGTGGAAGAGGATGAACGATTATTGGAAGATAATAGTTTACGTGTTAATTCAGATCTAAACGATTTTACTACTTGGCATCTAAGAGAGTTTGACTTGTGGCTTTGTCCACAATGAATACATTTTTCAATTTTAGAGCAAATATGTAATTTTAAATCATCAGCACATTCATCACACGTACGACAAGTACTCTTGACCTGGGTACATTGTTTCATGAAGTGACCTAGACCCATGCATTTAGAACAGATTAAAATATTTGCAGGCGCCAAATATTCATCAATATCATAGACTATATAACCAACAGTAATTTTTCTTTTAATTAATAATTCTTCACGTAAAGTAGAAGAAGATAATTCAAGTTTAACTAATTTAATATCATTGTTAAATTTGTTTTTTAATCTAATAACATTTTTAACTTGTGGATAACGTGTTTTAATTTCTTGAGAAAATTCATTGAAATCCAGACGAAGATCTACATTTTTAAATAACAATGATAATTGTGGTGGAATAGAAGGAGAAGATGGAAATGTATAGTTTACATCACCAAACGTATCAAGCCAATGGTTCTGGTCTAATAGAAAAGAAAAGGAAGAAGCATCTTTTAAGAAAAGAAGAAAATCATATTCATTGTTGGAACTTCTATTAGAATAACGACAATTTAAGATATTGATTTCCATTTGATATTTTTTGTTACAAAAAGCAGTTAAACCTTCTTTAATTTGGTTCGATGTAACTTTACCAGTATTGAACCTGATGCTAAAGGGGGGAAAGGGGTAACGTGTTTATGCATAACGAGTAGATTCAGTAGTGATTGAAATCTGTTGTGGATGAGATAAAGATAGAGCACCTTGAACTTGTGGACCACCTGAGACTTGTTGAATATCTTGCAATTGTTGAACACGTGGGACCTTATGTAGTAAAGGTTCAGCAGCAACAGAGGCAGATATAGAAGACAAAGGTGAGGGTGCAGCAGATTTTGAAATAATGTTTGTTTGATAATGTGTACGTTTTTTCTTAATTGTAGATGTCGTAAGTTTGTGTTTAATTTTCTTTTTCTTTTTCTTTTCTACTTGTTGAAAGACATCAAATGAAACATTGGACGAAAGTCCATTATGTGAAGGTACAGTTGATGAATCAATAATCATATTTGTAGAGACAGGAGCTGAAACCACGGAGGTTTCATTTAAACAGTTTTGTAAAATATTATTTGAAGAAGAAGTCATTTAAAATGACTCTAGTTCAACAATATTGATAAATAATTGTAAATAAAGATATTTTTCTTTTTACACACTCAACAAGTGCTTGAAAGAAAAACGAAGGAAAAAAAAGTATAGAAAGAAATGAAAGAATGCGATGCGACTTATCGGTAGCTCGAACATATATGAGGAACGCGAGTGTGAAAATATTTGTTCTTTTGCTAATATACCTTACTCCCCAACGAACGAGAAACGTGTAGTAGCGACGGTTTGATGCTTTTCTATACTTGCATATTTTCATTCTTCATCCTCATCGTCTGCATAACGTGTGTTTGCTTCTGTATACGAAAGAAAGAAAAACACGACAAGAAACGTCGTACGCACCACAGCATCATTTGCTTCCTATTATTCATTCTTTCTACCTGTACACAAGCAGAACAATTTCTTATTTGTCGAGCGAAAGCATTTGTTCGCGAAGCAGTGTGCAAATCAACCAAACACGTCAACATGCCTACGACGGGCTATGAGATTACATACCAGGATTTCCAGACATTGATGAAAGATTCGCTCACAGATGAACTGGTCCGAGAGATGATTGTACCTTGCATTCAACAATGGTTTGGTTATGAAATTCAATCGACAGAGAGTGGTTTCAAGCTCGTCGACAAACAAGGAAAAGAATTTGATCCAAAAGCAACACATGATGCTATACAAGCAGATCCACAGCATCAATACGATCTTTACCAAAAGTGCATGAACCTTTGGAAATGAAATGTAACGTCGAATATTATCTTACCTTTCAACTCTTAGACTCTGACAGTATGAAAAACCGCACCTGTTTTAGAATTATTTTCTGCACTATAATTTACAAGTTTTAACGAATAAATGGCTTAGTCTCATTTCAGGTACTTTTTCGTGTAAGTTATATTTAAAGTAAACAAGTATTTGTAAATATATAAACATATTTTTTCTTCATGTTTGAAGTGATTTTTTTAATAGATATTTTTTACAAATTAGTATATGATTATTTTCTTCTTAGATTTATGATCACCACAGAAGATCTGTAAAGACAGAGACAACACTTGTTTTATATTTTCTAGAAATAAGTCATCCTAATATTAGCAAATAATTTATTGCTCAAATTTAAGATCTCAGCTCAAACGTTTATTTTTCATATCTCACGTTAGGATATTCAAGCAAATAGTTATCTTAATGTTAGTAAAGGTTTTATTTCTCAAATTCGAGATCTAAGCTCAAAGGTTTATTTTTCATATCTAACGTTAGGATATTCAAGAAAATAGTTATTCTAATGTTAGTACAGGTTTTATTTCTCAAATTCGAGATGTAAGCTCAAAGGCTTTATGAGTGTTACTTGGAAAACCCGCATTCATGCAAACAATATTATTCTTTATCGAAGGGCATTACTCGGAAAAACCGTGCCCTCATATTGTTTATGAGTGTTACTCGGAAATCCCGCACTCACGCAAACAATATTATCCTTTATCGAAGGGCATTATTCGGAAAAACCGTGCCCTCGTATTGTTTGTGAGTGTTACTCGGAAAAACCGCACCCATGCAAACAATATTATTCTTTATCAATAAAGAGAAGAAAAAGACATTAAGGGTATGCTTACACGACAAATTCTTTCTTCCTTTCCAACTTACTCTTTACATATATATATCCGTGGTCATACACATGACTAGACAGTTCAGTCTACTCTAAAAAAAGAGAGGTAAATATAGATAAGACTTCTATTTCGGAAATTGTGGAATATTACAAATACTAATAAAGCATCCTAAGATCTGATTGTTGATCTTATACTGATAGAAAACAACAACTATTGATTTATTACTTTGTGCAGAGCACATATTCATTGAACTATATCGTACTTATATGAAAAGTATTGTAGATAGTTTATAATCTACTAAAAGTTCTATTTTTCATTAAAAAAATATATTTATAATAATTTTTCCTCATAAATGCTGTCTAGTTGGTCAACATTGTAAGGCATTTTTCGACACCATTCTAAGGTTTTTTTTAAACTTTTTTTTTACCATTTTGTAGAGGAGAAAAAGTTGTACAACATATGTGAAATTCAGTCTGGGATCTCATAAAATGACTAAATGGCAGCCAATACATTGCAAAAAATCCACTTATTTTTCACTTGAAAAATGATGGGTCATGGACAGTATTTCATAGATAACTATGGATTAGTCCATGGAAAAATAATATGTAAATAGGTAATTTTGTTCAGCTTTCGATGCTCTATCTTTTGGTATATTACATGAAAAATTTCGTTAATTTGATGTCATCGAAAAAATCTCCACTTTATACGAACGATTTTTGATGATATTTTTCAAATATCATCGTGAGCGTTCGACAGTAAAATTGAGCTAACTTTTCACCAGCTTAACCAAATGCGCTAAAAATTTGGATTTAGAGGTTTTCGATGGTGCTGAACAAAATGAGAATATCAAATAAAAAAAAACTTTTTGACGAGTGTTTCGATTGCTCGATGGCCTCATGGGTGCTCTCTTAATCAATAATAATGGCGCACTTTATATATCTTTGACAATGCTTGAGAAACGAGAATGATAGTAAGAAAAATATTCGATATTTGATTGCCACGTGTGGTGAGAAATATTTTAAAAAAAGTAAAAAATCATAGAAATTTTCACTTTATTTGTTATTTTAACTAAACTTTATATTACAAATAATTTGTATTGCTTTTCTTATTTCCAAACAACTATTTCAAAAGAGTCACGAACTAAAATGTAATTTTTTAAAATTTACGTATATACCCCGGTATTAGAAATCTGTTATCACATTTTATATATTCGTCCTGAACGGGACAGCTATTATTTGAGACATCTACTATAATCTTTATACCATATTGTTTGTGATATGTTATTACCTGCATACAAAATCAATATTCACCGATAAATTTCAAAAACATTTATTTTTGCTCCAATTTCCTTATTTAAAAGGTTTCATTGTTCCAGGGTGGTTATCAACTTGAAAAACTTTTCTTCTTAGTAAGAATGATTTCTAAGTGATTTCTTTGAAGATAGCATCACTATCATTGTTCTTAGAAAATCTTTTATTTTTAAAACATGACCACTAAAGATAGATTAAGTATTTTTCTATAACAATAAGATTTATCGTTGTAGATCAAAACTTTTATAGCAACAAGGCAGTTTCTACTGCAATTTCAGATATGACCTGATAGTCTTGAAGATTGACAGATACTTGATTAATTTTTTCTAGCTCAGACAGAAACATTACATATCTCTATAAGTATAGGATATTTTGTGACTGGAAGCAACTGCTACACAAAAGACTTTTGAATAGTAGATCCGCATCGGTTAAAATTATGTCGATAATCTGATTTCCTCACTCTTTTTTTTTCAGCAGGACCATATTTGTAATATCGTCGTCCTTCTCCTGGAAGTTTATAAGAGCAGGGGGAAAAAGGAAAAAAATTCCGTACCAGCGTTCTATCAAAACTAATCTTGTCAAAAATATTTTTTGAATGTAAATATCAATCTTCCTGAATATATCTAATATATGTATAACTTCATCACATAGTGGGTGTTATATGTGTTATGCTGATTTCATCAAACCTTACGAATATAAGGTAAAACACGACAATTTTTTATGAACGTTATTTATTCGAAACTATCAAACTATATAAACCAAATTATCTAGACATCAAACTGTTTAGGAAATTTTATAACTTAAGAATCTCCTTAGAACTGAGACATTCGATACGAAGACGCTCTGAATATCTATTATCGAGATATCAATGATTCGTAAAAAAACGGGTCCTTACTTCTAAAATTGACCGCGATACGTTTATCCTTGAATATAATTACAGTTTATTATAATCTGTGTTTCTACGAATCTCGTTAGAAAAGTTACACTTCAATCAATTGATCGAATTGAGAAATAGACATTCCAATACTCATTACTTAGAACACTTTATCAATGCACATCAACATGCTTTTCAAAAATATTACTGATTGATAACGTAATTGTCTATGTTATTCAATATCTATTATCAACTGTATTCATACCTGTAATGTACCATCTCAGCTATTCAATCAAAGCGACATCTAGTTTTTTATTCTGTTTTTGTTTAAATATCTTGAATATGGGAAACAAAATTTTCCTCAAAAGCTCGGTTTTGAGAAGCTACCTGTAAGCAGAAAAACATTGTCTAAAGGATCTTAGACGAGATTTCTGTTGTTTGGTTTTGAAATTTCAGTTTTACTTTCAAACAAATATTACTTTGCTTTCCTTTTTTGAAATCTTTTCAACAAAAAATACTGAGTTTTAGATGTATTCGTAGAGAAAGCGAAACGAAAAACATCGATATTTTGGAAGGATGTTGACATGTTTCAACAGGGATCTTATAGTTATATATGTTAGCATTTCATCTTTTCATTTTTCACTGAAAATTCGATCAGCTTTTAGAAAGTGATCATATGAACATTCAACAAGTTTGAATCAAATAATAGCTTTTTAATGGTCACTTATTGTGCTTAAAATGAGATATAAATGAAAGTTCATTTAAATCTAATGTTCCTTACTATTCTTGACATTAACAACCGCTGGATTAGTAAGTTTTACTTTAAAATAATTTTGTAAAATCTATCGATTCATAATAAATTTAATAGAAAAAATGACTATTTTTATTTTTTTTTAATGATCACAACAATAAAAAAAAGTAAACAAAATATCTACAATAGTATTCTCCTTAGCAAACATGAATAATACCTTCTCTATTGAGCAAATTACAGAAAAGTTTTTAAGCATTATAAAATTCATATTAAAAAATATTCATTGCTTACAAGAAAATAAATTGCTCTATTTTCTCATCATAGCGTGCCTATTGACAAAAAAGTGAAAAAAATGCGTTTGAAGAATTAATTATTGTTCATTTTCG